TCCAATTTTTTAAGTTCTTTGGGAAATATGCCGGAAAAGAATGAAGCAAAGATGAATATCGGATAATCTGAACGGATTTACTGATAACGGACCCTGAAATAATATTTAGCAATAAGAAGTGATGCAGTTAAAGATTCAAGGTGAAAATGTATTTATGTGTTAAAAAGTGATGCTTTCAAGATTTAAGACCGAAAACATTCCTTAAAGTGTGCAAAATTCCGAGGAATTGTTATTTCTGTAAGCATTGGAAGTGCATTTGAAACACAATAAATGTGATAAAAAATTTTACGGTAATTCCGTGTGCATTGGAAATTAATTCTAATAGTGTGACAAATTTGGAGTAATTATTTTATTTTTCATATGCATTGGAAATACATTTTAAAATTGTTTTATCTCTTTTGTTCATTGTTTTATGTTTGGGTATTTAAATATCCAACCGATAGGCAGTTGGATATTGGAATATCCAACTGATGGCCAGATGGATCTTCAAATATCCAACTGGTGCTGGTTGAATCGGTAAAATATACGTAGACTAATAACAATGGCTGACGTCATAGAAGTTTTTTAACACTATATTAAACATAGGATAATCAGTAATGAAGATGAAGTCAAATAAAACGGATTTTTTATAGTAGGTCAAGAAAATTAAAGGGTTATTCGGTTTGATTAGATTCTGGCGAGGCTCCTGCTGGGTCCTCCACTCGAGCTCCAATAACAAAATCTTAAAGTTAAAAAAAATATATATATATATATATATATATATATATATATATATATATATATATATATATATATATATATATATATATATATATATATATATATATATATACTGCTGAAACATGTTTAGAGCAGGCTCGGGGTATCTAACCGTTTACACGCAAGGCAGCTTTTAGCATTTCCCAAGTGTTTCTTTGCTTTCAGTAGAATCCTGTGGTTTTAAAATTTAGCACCAATGTTAAACTTATTTATTGTATGGTTGCGGACACCGTTTAACTACATATAATTAAAAGTATTAATTAAAATAAAAAGTGAAATCTACCCTCCTTCTTAGTTCTAACCTACTTAAAATTTTATGCTCTGTCGTTCCCCTTCGTGCTTAGTAACACAAATAAGATGATCAATTGTTGCATTTACTTGTAAAAATATATATATTTATATAGGAAGCGAAAAAGCGCGAACACAAAAACATGACATGAAATTTTCTTCTTCATAATAATCGTCAAAGAGAGTTAAAAATATTGAATATAGTCTGTTCCTCATTCATTTGACCCTGTTATTTCAGGTAGAGTGAAGGCATTCTCTTTCTCTTGGTCAACACTTTTGTGTAACAAAACAATGTAAGGGACCTTTTTGTACATAACAATACCAATGCTGAAGCAGCCTATATGTCATTCCTATAAACGACAACTCATAAATCGGTACTAAGCTGGTCATTTTTCATACCTGAGTTACACATCCTTAAAACACAACATAGGAAAAGTCAATTATAATTAAATTCTTAATGATGTGATTAAAAGTATCCATAAGTTATTATCTTTTTTTATTATTTCATGTACCTATAAATCTATCTATGCAATGTTTTTACCTTATGTGCAACTTGAAAAATTAGTTGAAAGGCCTTTAATAAGCACCATCGACTAAAGGTTTCCGATTTATGTGTCGGGCAATAACAATAATGATACTTTTCATTAAAAGAAGAAGGCACAGAAAGGAGAATAACTCTTTAATTTTACTTTTTTTCATGCCTTCATATAGAAAGGTATAAAACAGGGTAATGTGTTTATATTTTCTAAGGAAGAACTGAAATAGTCAGAACAAGGGCGACAAATTTGTCAAAATGATTTATTCCAGAGAATGTTCCCCTATACTAACTGTAATGAAAATATAAAAATTGTCCATGTTAATCTTTGATTTTTAAATGATAAGAATATTATCAAGTTCTCAATTAGGTTTTTTACCACCATTTTATAACACACTGGGGTTAATTTCATTTTCCTTTGCCTTTTTATCCTAATTCCTTGCTAATCATAATATTCATTTGCATTTAGTGTTAACACTGACATAAAGACAATTTTCGTTTATCAAGGTGTTAATAGTCAACTGAAAAGAGAATCTGACACATTTAGAAAAAAATAACATCCAAAACCTGTATATGACTCTGAAAGATCTTGCTGTCGAATGAAGTCGCAGAACAATTCATCTTTTATCTTTGGATTTAAATCGCCTACAGAAGTTCCCGTCCTTTCCTGAACATCTAAAGTGAATAAAAAAAAATTCAGCATTTGAAATGAAATATGAATTCGTTGAAGAAATCTTAAGAATCTGAAAGGTAGGGTCACTTTTTCCGTGAAAGGTAATAACAAATGACCATAAAAACATCAACTGGTGTATCTACAGAGTAGCTTACATGCAAAAAAGCAGGACAAAAAGTCTATTTGTGGATCAGGGTCTGTTTGAGAGGCTTTATTGACAGGACCATCGTCAGCGCCGTGATCTGAAAAAAAATTTAATTAAATTTTAAATGTCCAGCAGAAACATCCCATCCAATACAAGAGTCTTTTGTTTCACTGTTTTAAGCTATCAATTTAATTTAAAATAAACTCATGGCTGTAGTTTTATCATTTTGTTCACTTTGTTACCTTCTTTTCATGAGAATAATTTAAGTTAATTGTGATTATCTTGGAAACTCACTTGGTATTTGGTTGCGTTTGTTGATTGACAAATCTGTTGGTAATCTGAAATCGAATTTACAGTAGTATTATATTTCGTATGTTAACTTTTCCTTTTCTTTAATCAGTGCTTTACCAAACTCACAGAAGAGTGATAAGAGTCAGCATTAAAGAAATATTATAAGATATTATAAAATATTTTATTTTGTAATGTTGTATCTATCATTTGGATTAAAATCTACGGTCGGTGACGTCATAGGTGTACATCAAGTAACGTGGAAATTAATCATGTTGTGTAAAGAAAATTTGGCTAAAACAGCATGTACAAAGTACGTAGAGGGAGTTTAAATCAAAACATTGGGTAAGGTTTCGTGCGAATGTGTGGAATAATTATTTTATTGACTGGACAGTGGGATTCTAGCAGCACTTTTTCAGGCATAATAGATTTTTTTTTACTATATTATTTACTCAAAGAAGATATTAAAGTCCGGGGTATTGTTGTTTTGTAAGCTTTTATATTAAGGAATGTTTCGCTATTAATAGATGTCATGTGATGACGTGGTAGTGTTGCAAGTTTTTTTTATACAATAGTTAATCATTAAGGTCTTCCGTCTTCAGCGGAAGACCTTCTGGTTATTCTTAGGTTTCTTTCCACTATTTTTATTATTATAAGATCCTTCGTCTTCAGCGGAAGACCTTCTTGTTATTCTTCGGTTTCTTTTCCACTATTTTTATTATTATTGTTGTTTTTTTTTTTCTTACCGACATTTTGCGTGCCAGTTCTCGAGAACGGCTTGATCGATTTTCATGAAACTTTCAGGTCTGATAGAACATCAAAAAGTCTAGATATATATATTTTTATTTTGATGACGTCACTTCCGGTTCGGAGTTTTCAGCGATTTAGTGATTTTTAGAGGGTCACTTTGTCCGGCAGTTTTCTGAAAAACACTTAACACAGAAGCATGAAATTTTCAGCGATGCTAGAACAACCTTTGGAGAAGTGTATTTGGTATATCATAAGCACCGGAAGTAGGAAGCGCCGACGTTCGCTATGGTCCAAAAATAGTCCTATCGTGAATTTCAAAATTCCTCAAAATTCCTCAACCCCTTCGTTTTAAAGCTTACAAAAAAAATTTAAAACTTTTAAACGACAAGTGGTAAAGATATGGGACTAACTGCATGACCTTTGCCCTAGGGTCATTCAAAATATGAAGAAATTAAGCTCTTTTTATAGCTCTTTTGTTCTTCACCAAAGTCTAAACATCTTTGTAATCCCCACCGCCTTCTCTTAAAAAAATCAATAGCAACGTAGAAAAATTTTGTACAACTCAAACGACACCACATATCGACATAAAATTCATGATATCAGTAAGAAGAAACCTCAAAGAAAGTGCCCTGAAAGTTTTATGGTGAGTCTCTTAAAAATAATGAAATTCTACTCAATATCGGCAAAATCTACATTTTTTTCTGTCTGAAATTTAGTTGTTGCTGAGCATAAAAATTAGTTAATGCTTGTATTGGCTATTTCTTCAATTGTTGTTAATACACTGTATCATTCGATTCTCCTGCTCTAATACGACATTTTAATACCAAGTATTCTTGTTTTCTTTAGAATGTGGAATTTATTTCAATTTTATTTAAATTTAATATTAATCGAATGAATCTCCAAAATAGCGATTTTTCCTGTCAAATAAATTTCCACGCTCTCAGTGACACGGTTTTCTTCCTGATATGCATGTTTCAAGTTTAATTTATGTTAGTTACTATTAATTCAATCCAAATAGGGATGATTATTTTACCTATGAGTTCACCATATCTGTCAAATCGAACTATATTTTCATGAATTGTAAACAAAGTGTCCACACTGAAATTCGAATATATCATAAGCTCTGTATGATTAACTCAATTTATTCAAACTATAAACAAACTCAAATGAATTGTTTTTACAGGAAATCTCCATTTTCATTATCCACCAATCGTTTTTCTCAGAACAATTCATTATTCCTCTCTACATTCCAAAACAAACAAATAAATACATGTGTTTCTGTACTATTTAAAAACGCACGTGTGTCTCCATGTGCTTTCATTTCTATTTCAGCGCCCACAACAAACAAATAAATACACGTGTTTCTGTACTATTTAAAAACGCACGTGTGTCTCCATGTGCTTTCAATTCTATTTCAGCGCCCATAACAAATAAATAAATACACGTGTTTCTGTACTATTTAAAAACGCACGTGTGTTTCCATGTGCTTTCATTTTTATTTCAGCGCTCGCCTGTCAATCTGAAGGTCCCGAGTTCGAATCCGGCTGGGGGCACATTTTATTTGGAATTTTTTGCATTTGTCTTCTTTTTGTCAACCCAAATGACACGGAAACACTTAAAAAGGTGGAAAGACTTCTAATTGTTCTCTGAACAATTAGTTTACTAGTATTTTGTTTGAAATTGTTCAGACAATGTGTGTATACTTATACAATTTAGCGAAATACATATATGTTCGCTTCTTCTTCGAACAAAACTCTCTCTCTCTCTCTGATGAATGAAAACGCCCAGGAAATTAAGCATGAATATAAATTATATTATATATCAATTATAGTACCTTCTTTTTTAGATTGGGAAGTTCAATAATTAAAAAAAAATCATTCATGAACTTTGGACATTCTTCATTAGCCTGGAGGAAAGAAATCAATTCAACATTACTTATTTTAAATGGCATTCATGTAATAAGATAGATAATTAGCAGCTATCACACAGGTTAAAAAGAAAACAGCATTTTGAAGGCAATTCAGGGCTATTGAGCAGTGAAGATTCTTTATCGTGTCAAGGCCTACCGTCACACGGGGCTTCCGCTTTAAGGCCTCACAAAAAAACCTGCAATTTTTACTTCGATGTGCCGAGCACTTGGCGAAGGAACAGTTGCTACCCATTTTTATTGACTTGGGTCAGTCGCAGCCGCGGTTCGAACTCATGGCCTTCCCATCACGGAACGAGCGCTCTACCGACGGAGGTACCGAGACGATCTCATGCATAAAAGAGTATGTTGTCAAAAAAAATCAATAAATATTATTGAAAAAGCTTAGCTACACATTAAACAATACCAAACACATACATAAAAAATGACTTTTGCTCCTCAAATTTACACATCTCTTTTAGTCCTAAAAGTCGTGTGAGTAGTTTATGAAAGCACCCACGGTGAAAATAGAAGCAAGAAAGAAATACAATAAGAATAAAACCCTTAAAACATTATGTTTCCAGACTTTTTAAAGCTTTATAGTAAACATTTGTTTAATATTGAATCGAATACTCACTTTTTCTTCGTCATTTTGTCTTCTCTTTTAGGATGCCTTAGTAGACTGTTCAATAAAAACGGTTGTGTACTAGTCTTATAAATAATATCTTGAAATTATATTATTTAATCAATAAATTCTCTACACCTATGACATTTAATTCTTCAATATAATACTCCACAACATTAAAAAGGCGGGGCTTAATTTATATTATTTATGATTACATTGCCATACAATCTATAAGATTTTGATAAGATCAATAAAATACTAGTATGCCAAAACATTAAGAAGGCAGGAATTAATGTACACGTATATTGATTCTGTTTACATGTACACTGACATAAAAATTTCAGATATTTTAATCAGGATTGCAATTTTGAAACACAGCCTCACCCCCTCACCACCACACACAACGTAACACTCACTTTAGCTAACAAGAACACGTTTTGCAACATACATATAAAAACAAAGCCTTCTACAGGCTCATTAGACTTTTTAATCAATTTACTTATCTCGCCTAAGCCCAAAAAGGACTGAGTCTTATCAACGAGTTTTGAATATGTAAACAGCTTTGATTAAAAAAATCTAATCATAAAATAAAAAAAGTCATCAAAATGATAAGGTTTCCTCTTTCTTCACTTCAACAACGGTCGATCCTTCCGTCTTTTTGACATGTCCCCTGTACCCTGTGTGGTCTTCATTCTGTGTCTCCCTCTGTCTGTATGCCTATATCTCGACAATTTCCAATTTCAAATTCATGTAATACTCTCAAAGTTTCTTAATTGTTTAAACGTAATTTTTAGTTTGATTATCATTCTATCTTCATAATTCATCTTTGGTCTGTTCTTATAAAGAATTGTCTTCTAAATAATAGCGGAAGTTTTTATACTACAACTCTTTCATTGCAAAATGATATCGTTTCTCCGCTTTGGGTAATGTGTCAACGTTATATGATGTACTGTTACATATTTTACGCCAAAGCACGATGCTTATAGAGTAGTTTCTCTGTCATATTTCCGTCAAATGTTAGTTATTCATAATTTGTTATGTTTTCATTAATTATCTCCCCACAATTTTTCAATTCCATTTTTTTCAATTTGCCAATGTGAATTTAAAAGGGCCTTTTGAAAAATAAAATTAGAAATATGCATAGGTATGGATATTGATTAAACAATAGACGAAATATATATGTCCTCTTTAACTTTTGTTTTACGTTTAAACAAATCCGTCTTTATATTTGTACATGCGCTTTATTTTGTTTCCTTGATTTTTTTATGGACTTTTTGAAGAATTTAAACAAGTTTATTGTAAGAATCGACAACAGCAGAAAAAACTGGTACTTGTGATAACTGATGTTGCTCATCATGGGCTGATAGTGCTGCAGAATAAGTTAGGCAAATCCTGTTTCTTTTGAAACATTTTCAAGTAAGCTCTGTTATTTTCTTTTAAGTTATACAGCCAAGTAAAGATCTTTTCTTTTTATATGACAGTTGTAAATGGTGACATGAGTCAAAATGAGGCATAAGGAACGCCAAAAATGTTTGTATAAAAGTTTTAGGTTTGACATTACTTTATATATTGATATACTTTATATATTTGATCATTATTTTAGCGCTTTGGTCTTTATCATCATTCCGCCGTTTGGCATTCATTGGGTGTCTGACTCCTTCTTCCACACGTTATGCATGCAGATTACCATTAACATTTCCTTGTCTTGTACTTGGAAGGAAATGTTTCAGTATTCCTCCTGCTTCAAAATATTTGTTAATAGACTTTCCACA